CATAAAGGCAGATATGATTTTCTCAAGGCAAAGGAAAAAGGCAAGATTAAAGCTAGAGTAAACTAAAAAATTGTTTATACTAAAAACAGTTTTAAATGTAGCTATTAATAATACAGCTTCATCATTATAAGAAAAACCAAGCGATGCTATAATAATATATTAATAATACACCTATAGTAATTATTACTATAATTATTAACTAGAAGTGAACCTGCTTAACTAGAAGTGAAAACTTTGCTCTGTCCAATACTGGCATAATTTTGAATATATCACTATCCTTACTTCTGTCTACAGAATATGCATAGCTGAAATAAGATTTAAAAACATTTTGGTACACTTACCATTTCCAAAATATGCTTTAGCTTTTAATCTCTCTCATTGAAAAACCTGCAGAATGTGCCAAGCTAAATACGGAGAGATAGATGGGAGCACAGAGGAAAAGTTTCAGGGACTAAGTTGAACTACAGTCTACAGCCATACCACCCTGAATGTGCCCGATCTCATCTGATCTTGGACACTAAGTTAAACTACAATGATAAAATGCTATATAAACAGAGAGAGGAAACACAGACACAGACAGAGACAGGCAGACTGACCAATAAAGGAAAAAAAAAAAAAACAAACCTGTAGGAACTAGACTTAAAAGTAGCTTGATGTTTTGACAGGTGAAGAGATCTGAAACATTGTGCATAGTGAGGATTTGGTGGGTGGAGTGAAGGGACTTGTAAAGGAGCTGCTGTGAATTGTACATCTGACCACTTTAAATGATTTAAGTAAACTGAATATTGGAATTTCTCCTTAATTAATAATTGTCTAATTTTTACCCTGTAAATGACATTCTATATGAAGCAGGGAAAAATACGTTATTTATGGTCTTTGAAATTTCTGGTGCTCAAATCTAATACAAAGCTCCTGGTGTGAAAATACTGAACTGCCTCGACATGGAAATAGGAGCTACATCCTGTTTTCAAATACACAGAAAGGACAAAAGGAAATTAGATTTGGAATATGTAATAAAAAGGAAATTAGTTTTTTTATTTGTAATCTTTCTTCTGTATTTAAGAAATTGAGTCCATTCATTCTAATGTTTAGCCTCTGGACCCTTTTTGCTCTCTGCCCAAATATATATTCATATTTCAAAAGGCACTCTCTAGCCTCACCAGTCTATCTAATTGTTTAGCCTGCAAGTCATTAAACACAAGTAATCCCAGCTAAATGAAAATTCTTTGATGTTTTTTTGACCCCCCCACACACATTCTTCAATGTACCCTTGTACCAATACATACTACTGAAATAAGTTTATTTTTTATGTATTTATTATTTCTTTAATCTAGTAGCAGAACTGGCAAAAAGAAAAGGAAGAAGGAAAAGGAAAAATAATTCCAAAATAAAAACAAAACCTAGCTATCTCTACTCTTATGTAACTCATGATATAGTCAGGGAAATAAGACTGTGAGAAGTGCTTCACAATTGAAGTGACAAATGAATATTTCAAGCAACAGGATGGTAAGGATTGCATAGTTTCCATTGCCAAATAACAACTTTCTTATACACTTTACCATCAAGTTTGCACAGGTCAGTGGTGAGGAGGTAGTTACAAAATGGTTACTGTTGAACTATATGACTTAGACATTTGCTAACTTGTGGGTCTGTATTTCATTATTGGATGAAAAAAAATATTCAAAATGAACTATAGTTGTAAGAATATTTTTGATTTAAAAATCTGTAACTGATCCCCTTTTAAGAGAAGGGTTACTATATGTAACCAAGCTGTCAGAAGCATGGATGTACATGGGCTATTGTGGGGATAGAATGGTGTCAAAGGCAGATTTAAAACTAGGTCCCTTGTTTTGTTCTTCAAGTAAATATTTTATTATTTCCTGGATGTGTGTCTAGAATGATAGTAATTATATTTTCTTTTTAACTACTGTACATACACAGGATTGAATGTAATTAGTTTTATGATTATCTGTGGAATTCAGTGTGAAGAACAAAACTCTATTTCAAGCCAATGATTTTCTAGACTTTATAAATGATAATCTGGTTACTGCAGACCGACACTATTGTTTCACCCAAGCATATTTATATTGTTTATATTTAAATTCAGTTTTGGATTTTGCCATTTTAGAGGTCAGATTAAGAATATTTTGGGTTCTATCCCACTTTACTTGGGTTATTACACACCTAGCAATTTCTGTTACACTGAGTTAGGTTGTCCTTTTCTCCATTACATCAGAGAGGGTTCTTTCCCTTAAAAACAATGTTTGTCTTGGCCCTCCCTGGTGGTGCAGCGGGTTAAAGCACAGCACTAAGAAGCTTAAGCCACTTCTGCATGAGTTCGATCCCGGCCTGCCCTGAGGAGATCCACATGGCGTGGCAGATCTCTCCTGACCCGCCCGCTGCTCCCCTCAGCAGTGTACTTCATCGATCTGCCTGTTCTGCTCTCCACTCTGTTCTTGGTGAATCCTCTCACCCTCCGCATCTCTGGCCTGTACCCCAGTTCTGTATAAATAAATAAATCTTTAAAAAAATGTTTGTCTCATTTATTAAATTTATCATGGCATGTTTCAAGATGAATCCAGGGCTTTGTTGTGAATTTCCCATCCTCATGCCATAAATCTAGAGGACTATGGAGTATTGACTACTCAAGGAGATTGAACTAAGTGTGCTCTTTTCTGTCAGACCCCTTGTCTTTGGTCTCTCCATGGCCCGAGCACACAGAGGTTGCTACTAGATGGATTGTGCATATTGGTGACCTGCTCTGAGGTGACAGCCCAGTCAGTTCACAGAGGGCTAGCTTTCCTCATCTATTTATCATAAGGACAATGTATAGCAACCTTACATATTTCATCAAGAGGGTTCTATTTCCACTCCTCTATTCTTTTCTGCCCTTCAGATCTCCTTTGAGTGCCATGGTAGAATGACTTCCAAACCTTCGTGAACTTTTCATCTCCCCTTCTTTCTGTAGACTCCTCTACCTCCAACTGTCATTTCTCATGTCACCATAAAAAAAAAAAAAAAGGGACTCTCTACACATGAAGGACAGACCATGGTATTTTCTATCTGAACACAATTTGAAAGCTGGCAACAAAATCCTCCTTCCATTAATTTCCTCCGCTACTACGGATTCTCTTCTCCTCCTATCTGTAATCACTCACATTGTGTATTGCTTTCACTTTGGTAATATTTACAGATCACCTTCTATTAAGAAAAAAGTAAGCAGTTGACTACAGCAAAGTGTCAAAATTGGTTATCTATATTTTCAACATAGGACACAGTCTTCCCTAATAATGAATACAACACTTGTAAGGAAACATTAAAGATCACCATTTCAGAGAAAGGAAGATGTTGCTAGCCACCAATAAAAATATCTCATTAAAATAGTAAAAATAAAAAGGAATAACATGGAAACAATCATCTCCTACATCCTTACAATATATTAAAATGTAAATCCATGTTTCATTTATTCTTCAACAGCTTTTTTTCTGTGTGAAAATACTCTTATTTTTCTCATTTACCTCTGAGTAAATTGAGGATTAGAGATGTTAATATGTTAATAAATTAGTCCAATATAAAAATAGTAGATGGATGGAAGAAGATTTGTAATCAGGCAGTCTGATTCCAGCATCTCAACCACTATTCACTGCCTCTCTGAAAGTAGAAATAATGGATTGATGGCTGAGATAATTTAGACTATTTTACATTAGATTAAATTAAATTAGATCGGAAGATAGAAAGTAGAATCCCCAATTGTGACAGTTATGTTTCTGAAAACGTTCCAGTACAGCATTTTGTGTTGAGAAACTCAAGACTTTACCTTAAAAAAAAAAAAAAAAGCAACAGAGGAAATAAAAAAATGTAGTATAGTAACAGGATACAGTAATACAAAAGGCATTCGTGAAGTGCACTAATGATCATAAATAATGAAACAGCCCACCCTACAGTTAAGAAAATATTTATTCATCTTACATTATTAGTATGGGGAGTGCTCTACTGTTAATTTACATTTACCAATCCTTGTTCAGCAGAATATTTTCAGCCTCTGCCTCCTGTGAAATCTGATTCAATCCAATTCTGCCACTCATAGCAATTGCCATTTTATGTGTTTGGAATGCTTGGCTTGTTTTAAAATTTATAGCAATAATATGTTCACTCTTGGAAGTCTTAATATTGTTCAAATGGTACAGAGAAAGAATACCAATATACTAGAATTCTGAGGAAGTCTAACTAATATTATATTTATTGTATGCAGATTGATATAATACCCCTGATGGTTATTACATATTATATATATATATATATATATATATATATATATAAGAAATATATATATATATATACAAGAAATAAGAAAGGATATTACATAGTTCATTATTATATAAAGAGGAATTATTTTCTTATTATCACTGAGATGATTTCCTCTTTGCCCCAATTACTTGGGAGTAGACATAACTCAGCAAACATTTGCTGAGCAGTGTTGTAGAAACTGCTCATTTATCACTTATGGGAAATTAAATTTTAAATCTGTGATGATAGGTGAAAATTTGTTAGATATCAAGAAGTGTCAGAAAAGGTAGTCTATTGGGAATATAATGAAGGTCATCAGTGGAAAAAGTATGAACAGAGTAAAACCAGAAGACAGAATGTAGCACACAATACATATGTAATATGCATTCACTAAAAGAAAAATGGTGGTAGGTAGATGGAATGATGAATAGATAAAGGAAATGAAATCATAGATTTGTGGATGAATGTATAGATGGATGATAGATAGGTAGAAAAATATTGAATATTTCCAAAGATTAAATCAGGGATTATACTTGTTTACTTTATTGTATTTTGATATTTTTACATTTTACATTTTAGTATCCACAAATAAGGAAAATAAAACTTGGTATTTCTATTGCTATTTCTGCACAGTTAAGGATATATATTTCTCAGCTTCATTCATATTGCTTCATACTAGTGAGAGACATTAAAATATCATAAAAAGTACCAACCTTGGAAGCTGCATTCTGTGTTTCTCATCTCACCTAAAAAAACAAAAAGATAGATTTTAAAGACAAAAGTAAAATTAATTGGAAATGATAAGTAAGATGCTACAGTAGTAAAACAGCACTTCAAAAACAAACAAAAAACACTTTACCCATTTCCCCTTGGCAAAAGAGGTATGTTTCATTGTGAAGAAATACTCAGATAAATTTTGTTCTATCCCTTAATTATTTTAAAGACAGTTTGTGTTTTCTATGTTTTGGGATAGCTTTCTTTTAAATTTTTTTTCAAAGCTATAGCAATTACAAATGACAAATATAAGAGGGCATTTACAAAGAATGTTAAAACTAAATTATATAAAATAAGAAATATTTAGACAGCACTTAATCAACCATTGAGAATTTGTCATCATGAAAAGATTTTTGATAAATTCAGACAAGAACATTTTAAGAGGCTATTGCAATTTAGTCTCAGGTTCTGTATTTCTACTCATGAATGCTGATTAGAACAAAGCTTTTGCTTCTTTTCCCTCCGTTCCCCCAATAATCTGTTATCCCTTATGGACCAAGTGATTATTGTGTTGTTTATAATAACTGTTCTACATTCCTTATGGAAATTGTAATTATGATG